TATAATTCTATTGTCAGCCCAGAAGGCATAGAACACCTCTTAAGGTATTATGTTTACACTAGCTGTTCCAGATAGCACACTCAGATAGCACACTAAAAGCAGAAATGTTTAGATTAAAAATGAATGATCCACTTAAAATTTAATATTTTTTATTGTGATGCACATCTTCCCTTAATGCACAGAATCCCCTGGGTAACTAGAGTGAAATCGATGAATAGATTTTGTGTAATATAAATGCCATTTGGGTTCATGTTCCTCACTGTGGTACATTTGAGACAGATTAGCAGCTCCTCATAAAATTAGGCTTGGTCCATCTCCTAAAAACTCTGGTTAATAACATTTCAGGCTCCTTTCTCATATGTATGCAAGTTCAATTAGCGTAAAATACAATATATCCAAGTGAGTTTAACTCAGTGGAGGTATTTCTGCTGTTTGTATATAACTTAATGAACATAAAACCCTTTTACTGTATGTCTTGCTTTAGCAGTTAGAAAATAAAACAATTAAAATTACTTTTTTTATTTAAAAAAAGGTTTTACATTAAATTATCCAATTTACATTTTAGTTACATTTTTGTGTATGTTTATTTCTAATTTCCATTCACATGTGCATCGCACATAGTCTTTGATCAGCTGTAAACAAAAAGCATTTGTTCATTATTCTTCCAAAAGTGAGTAGCATGTTCTACACTTCAGTCTAATTATACTGTATATATAAAGTAAAACTAAAACATTCTCACATTGCTTATGATCTTCAAAGCAAAGTCTGTCCTGTAATCACGATATCATGTTAAGTAAATATTAATGACACTTACTGTTCCTACATTTGAGATGTTTTATACATTCTAAAATGTAAGGTATTTCTATTTGATAGTTTTGATTTCAAAATTGCTAAATCTGACATTTACAGTATGTATCTGGTATCTGGTATCATTCAGACCAGCAAAAGACCTTCCCGCTATTAATATTCAAATTTTTCAACTCTTACCGTTTATCATTTCATATTTAGACTAGATTAACTGCAATCCTAACCAAAGGCATTAGTCTCTGATGTTGAATAAACCATAATAACCTTATCAGTGTGGTTATCTTACTAGGATTGTCTCATCACACTATTTTCTGTTTTTCCTATTTTTCTTGATTCTGATGTTAAAACATAATGAGATCTTGGATATAACTGCTGCCATGTCTTTGATTTTTCAAATGTATTCATGTACAGGAACTGCATATGCCCTAAAGTGTAAACCAAAGTTACATAAATCCACTTGTTTTCCTGTTATACTTCTGTTCTCCCACACATCTCAAACGTACAGCAATGTTCTACCTGTGATCCCCTGAGTTTAAACAATGTCTGAACATTTTCAGTCTTCTGCTTTTAGCACATTACTTGTGCACACCGCATCCTCCCACAGTAGAGTGCATGCTGAATAAAGGGGTACTGGGGACCTGCGGAATAGAGTGTCTGCTGTCAGTTCTATTTTCAGCTCCAAGATGCAAGAAAATGTTTTCTATTTATTAGGAATAAAACCTTCAGCAACCGAATAGTCTGGAGTATGATAGCTCTTCATGAAAATATTATTGAAGCAATACGATTTGTTATGGTTTTATTCAACTAAAGGTGTCGATTTAAAATAAAAACAAATGTCTGCACAGCTGAATCACCAGATTAATCTTTTGCCAGTTAAACAGTTAATCCAGTTAACCAGATTAACCTTCCTTCCAGTATTTAAAAACACCATTTTCAATCAGTAGGTTAACGTCTAGGGCAGCATGGAGGCAAATGATTAGCGTTGCTCTGTTACAGCGCTGGGGCTCTGGGGTCAATACCTGACCTGGGCTTCGTGTGGAGTTTCTATGTTCTGCCCGCATGTTTGAGTGGATTTCTTCCGGGTGCTCCGGCTTCCTCCCACGGTCCAAAAACAGACTTGTAAGTTTACTGTTCCTGGTGCGTGCGTGCGCGTGTGCGTGTCTCCCTGTCTTGCAATTGGGGTCCCATCCAGGGTGTATTCTGCCTTGCACCAGTGGCTTTCCGGGATAGGCTTTGTTACCCTTTGACCCTGAATTGGAAGAAGTGGTTAGAAATGTATGATTAAAGTCTCCTGTTGGACTGTTGGCTGTCTTCAGACCACTGGGGGGTCAAGTGCACTATGAGGTCTTGGATGAAGTTCTGGGTTTACAGGTCAGCCTATGTCCATACAGTACCAATAGCACTAAACACCAAGCAATGGCCTAAAGGACAGGATTGTGGGTACAATCAGTGAAAATGAAGTTCCTTTCAGGGTTGTTAGACCTTCTTACCTTGATCCACCTTGGTGGAGAAGCTCATCTGTTCGATAAAGAGGTTTCAGTTGGGTACGTCTCATTAGATGGTGACCTTGAGGCTGGAAGTAATATAGTTTGGAATGCCAGGGAATGCTTGATAAATCCCCAGGAGGAGTTGTAATCCTTTCTGGAGTAACATGACACACCAAGAGCATCTCTCACCAGGACAAGTGGGCACCAAGTGACTAGATGGTAATCCAGTTCAAACCAAATCTGTTTGAGAATTCAATTTCAATGAAATGTCTTGCAGGATGTTATTTATAGAGACCCAGATCTAAGTTCATTTTTTTTCACTTCGATATTGGAAAGGTTCTTCTTCAGACTGTCTCTGAGGTTTACATATCTATTTTTTGAAGAGGCAAGGACAGCATTGAGCAATACAGTCATAGTCAAACCAGGACATTGAGCTGTTTCAAAATAGCTTTTCCTGTCCCACATCCATAGAACAAGACACACAGGATCCACCAGAGGGCAGACAAAGTACAAAGAAATAACATTTCTATTTGAATCACATTCATTACCAGTAGATCATATTTGTCCTTGAAACTGCTTTGGTCGCCAGGAGGCCCCAAGAAGAGAATTTTCCATTTTGTTTCTTTCTAAACAGAAAACACATTAGCTAGGCAACAGCCTGTAATGTTGAAGTATTTTAGAATACACTTGGACTACCTTCAGTAGTTCACAGACTACAATTGGTTTTGACAAACTAAAATGAATTTTAATCTTTAAGCCCAGTAGTGTAGTGTGGTTCCAGAGTGGCAATATATTTTTTTGTGATATTATGACCTTGTATGCAAATTGTTCAGGCTATAAGAGTTTTGGTTCTAGTGTGTTGCAGAACATCTTACGTGCTCCAGTTATAGAAACAAAGTATGTTATCTTTACATGTGACCCTCCTGTAACTAACTGAGGTTTTAGAACACTCTTGAAAACCTTCAAATCATGGCATTGAGACTTTTCTTAATCCAGAATCCTTTAAGCAATTACAACATTATTTAAAAAAACACACACATGATACAAGTCCAGCATCTCTGAACGTGTGAGCACTTTTCTTCATCCTAGAAGACCACTTCTTGGTATGAAATGAGAGATGGCTGCTATGTTGGTTTCAATTTAAGAAACTGAAAAATTAAATAAATCATTACATCAATATTTACTCAGCTGGGATTTTTAAATAAGATGATTCCTTCCACATCATCCAAAATCAAAATCATCCCAAATTATCAATAGCTATGCTGAAAGAGAGTGAACATTTTGCTCCAAGTTCTTAACATTCTAATGTGTTTGTGACAACACCAGCTCACAAGTCACCATAATTTCCTCACTGCCAGCATGTAACTTAGTTTTCTCATATTTTAAGTGGTTTGTCTTTCATTTATCAGACCCCTCCAGAATACTAGTTCTTTCACAGTGTTCGCCTCTCAGAGATACTGCACAATATTCTTCTCCTTCATTGCTCTTCACTTGATTCTACTCACACAAGTTACCCGATCTTCTCATCAAACATGGAGTACTCAATCCGATTAACTCTGTGTTGCCCAATTCTTAAACTTCACTTCACTAGGCAAGCCCTACAACATTCAATAAGACACATCATGTGTCACCCAGTCTCAATCCTCAATAAAATCAATTCAGCTCAATTTGTTGCTCATACAGTACTCTTCTCCGTGCACCAGAGCGTCACTAACAACCAGTAACGTTTTTCATCACTAACTGTATTGGCTGATCCTGTGTTGACCAGGAACACCTCTGTAACCCACACTTGCACCTCTGACACAGCAGCAGCCAGAAAGAGGCTGTTATTCTCTGTCACTTCTCAGAGACCCCTGCCTGTCAACTCACAGTAAGGTGCAGGGGTACTCGAGACTCAGCCTGTACCATCTAGTCTCCTCTCTCATCTGTAGGGACAAAGTGCACTACTATCTTGCCAAGCACAGCCCCACTTCTCTACGTACTAACACCTCCTCTTAAATCGGGTTCAGCAGAGCAACCCTGCTCCTTGGCAACACATATCTCCTAGGCAGCTGTATTTTCTGATTACAGTCCCCTCGTTAAAACCCATTACTTTTTATATTCATGGATTTGGAATTAGGAAATGGTTTGAAGATGAAGTTGAGTATGAATATCTGGAATTTGCACATACCCTGGACACATCTGAACAAATCCTGCCCAATCCTCCTAAACGAGTACTTTTCCCACTCTCGTTGCCTCTCCATTTTTAAGGCACTTTTCACCTGCTCAGAAGTCTCCTCTCTTTCCAACACACCTGCTTTTATATACCAGTCAGTAAGGTGGAAATAAACAACCCGCCAGCAATGGCTAATCACCAGCGAGCAGCAGACAACTTGCTAAGCACTGCAGCATTTGAAGCTGAAACCTGTTGCTCTAAGCAACACTAAAGATAGACCCTCCTTCAATTGGAGGAGGGGTTTATTCATACACAAGTATACCACTGCTGTAGTTCAGGTGGGTAGCTGTGTCACACCTGAAGAAGGCTCCACGGCCGAAACATTGTGTTCTCTTTCTTCTTTTTTTCAGCATGGAATAAACCTATTACTTGTTCCTATACCACTGCTGGATCATTATAGGGCACATTAAAACAGCCAGGTTGGTTGTTGGCAGTCCATGTGGACTCATAAAAATGGCTTGTAAAAATCTAGCTAAAATAAATTCAGGTGATTCATCAAAGATAACTTTATTTTTGTAAATATGCATAAACTGTACCACAAACCATTACTATTGCATGTAAAATAACCTAATACAATACTCTCACTTATAAATGCTGTCATTCAATGCTAGATGTAGAGTATGAAAAATGCAAAACATTAAAAAAGCCATTAATCAGAAGAATTCAAATGGAAAAATCTCTTATCAGTGTAAAGCTATATTACTCTAAATATATGGAGTATGTACTCAGGATTCAGAATTAACTATTTCACAATCATAATAAATCATAATAAACCATCTTAAACGCAATACAGTGCCAATTCAGTTATCAGCAGGAAAACAAAATTTAAAAATGTGTACTTTCAGAACATATAAAAACCACATATTTGACACATTATTTACATTATTCTTGTAAAGTATTTAAACATTTGCTAAATGGTCACATAACAAAATTCAAGATTACCATAACACAAGCAGTTTTTCTAATCACAAACTCCCAAAGGCAGGCTAGTATTCTGCAGTACTGTACAGCTCTGTGTACTTGGGAGGGCTTTGTTCAAGACTAAATATAATTGAGGGTCTTTTGATTTGACAGTACATAGTCATTGACATCACCATCCCAATGAACTGGAAAAAAGTAAAAGGAACTTGTTAGTCAAAGCATATTGAAAATGACATACATTACTATACCCAAGTCAAATTATATAATATGTGTGATTAACATTAATTTAGTATAGGAGATATCTCACTATAATACAATAATGATCAGACCTTAAAGTTTGGAAGGTATTAACTTATTGAAGAAGACCTGTTTGTTCCCGAACACAAAGAACATATGTCAGACAAAAACCTTATCAGGTTTTTAATATTTGACCTCTCTGTACTATGCATACAGGTGGTCTGAAACCAAGACCAATCAGTAAGAAAGATTACTGTGCAAATTGTTGCAAATGTTTCTACTGATCAAACTAGAGACAAATTGTAGGTCAAATACAACCACCTGTAAAACTGGACTTTAGCCCACGTTAACTGCTCCCATCTCCCATCAAGCCAACAACTGGGCTGTAAAACTCAGACTCCTTCTTACAGTAATGCAATAATTGAGAACGTTCAATACACATTTGTACCAGATATACTGTACTCCAACATGCAACTCTCAGTTTGAATGAAGCCCTGCAAATTCATTGTTTGGGACATTTGCCTGTGTAGGTTCTTTATTTCTACTGAAACTTTAATGAAAAAGATTTATTAATAGTTCCTACTGTTGTAAAATTTAGGTTGGAGACAATGTTTTTTGCAACCAGATTTGAAATTGTTTTATTTGATAATCTACAAAGGCCACTAAGTGTAAGGCCCCAGTGTCCTT